TGGACAGCATGGAAGGTCCTCAAGTACTCCTGTGTCCTGGAAGGCGACTGTGATCTACCTTCCACCTCCAGGGGCAGAAGGGCCTGGCAGTAGGAGTCTATCTCCCGCTCATCATCCCTGATGGAGCGCAGTTTCTGGACTGAGGCCTGGAGCTCCTCCAGCTGGCATGCCAGAGATCCAAAAAGGGAGCAGACCTCACAAGGGGAGGTGGCCATGCTCCTGGACCCCAGAGCCTGGAAAAGTGTCAGGCCCCGCAGCCAAGAGCCAGAGGCTCCATCTGCATGGAGCCTGGAACCATGGGCTCCATCTGGATGGAGATCTCTGAGGTGCCAGAGGGGGAGGCTGCAGACCCTGAAGTCAGAGTCTTCATCACAGAAGGCATTCGGGTTGGTCAGGCATGACTTGCCCTTGGCGAATCCATGCTGACTGTTCCTAATCGCCTTTTTCTGCTCCAAGTGCTTAGAAATGGATTCCTTGAGGACCTGCTCCATGATCTTTCCAGGGACTGAGGTGAGGCTGGCTTGTCTGGATCCTCCTTCTCCCCTTTCTTCAAGATGGACACTATATTTGCCCTTTTCCAATCATTTGAGATCTCCCCCATTTGCCATGAGTTTCAAAGATGATGGCCAGTAGCTGTGCAATCATGTTGGCCAACTCAGCATCCTTGGGTGTATTGCTTCTGGTCCATGGATTTGTATATGTCCATCTTTTCTAAATAGTCCTTAATCTGTTCTTTGCCACTATTGACTGCTCATCTTCTCCCCAAATTGTGATGCCAGTTGCAGTAGTCTGGAAGCTGACCTTGCCTGTGAACACTGAGGTAAAAAAGGCACTGAGTACTTCCATTTTTTACATTATCTTTCAGTAGTTGCCTTCCCCATTCCAAAAGGGACCCACAATTTCCTGGATCTTCATCTTGTTGCTGACATAGTTTTAGAAACCCTTCTTGTTACCCTTCATGTCCCTTGCTAGTTGCAACTCCAGTTGTGCTTTGGACTCCCTGATTTCATTCCTGCATGCCTGAGCAATACTCTTATACTCCTCTCTAGTTGTTTGTACAAATTTCCACTTCTTGTAAGGTTCTTTTTTGTGTTTTAGTTTACTGAAGAGTTTCCTGCTAAGCCAAGCTGGTCTTCTGTCATACTTGCTTCCAGATAGTCTTCCTGCACCTTGGGATAGTTAATTCCTGTGCCCTCAGTAAGGTTTCTTTAAAGTATAATTAGCTCTCCTCAACTTCTTCCCCCCTCAGATGGGCCTTCCAGGAGATCCTGCCCATCAGTTCCTTGAATGAGTTGAAGTTTGCTTTTCTGAAGTCCAGGATCTTTTTGCTGCTGCTCTCCTTTCTTCCTCAAGATCCAGAACTCAATCATCTTGTGGTTGCTGCTACCCAAGTTGCCATCCACTTCTGTATTCCCCAACAATTCTTCCGTGCTTGTGAGCAGCAGGTCAGGAAGAGCATGGCTCTTAGTTGTCCTCTCCAACACTTGCACCAGCAGGTTGTCCCCAGCACTCTCCCAAAACTCTCTGGATTTCCTGTGTACTGCTGTATTGGCCTTCCAGCAGATGTCAGGGTGACTGAAGTCCCCCATGAGAGCCAGGGCCTGTGATCGGGAAACTGCTAGTTGTTTGAAGAAAGCCTCATCCACCTCATCCTCTTGGTCTGGTGGTCTTTAGCAGACCTCCATCATGACATCAACCCTTGTTGCTCTCTCCTCTGACCCTAACCCAGAGACTTTCAGCAGGTCTATCTCCAGGTTCATACTGGAGCTCTGAGCAATCCTATGCCTCTTTTATATAAAACACAACACTTGCTCCTCTTCTTCTAACTGAACAGTTTATACCCAGCCATGACAGTGCTCCAGTCATGCTAGATATCCCACCAAGTTTCTTATTCCAATCACATAATCATTCCATGACTGTGCAAGGATTTCCAGTTCTTCCTGCTTGTTTCCCAGGCTCCATGCATTCATGTAGAGACACCTGAGGTAACTAGCTGATTGTCCTACTTTCTCAGGAAGAATGAGAAGGTCTCCCATGCCTCCTCCTACTTGTGCTTCCTCCAGATCACCTACTTCCCCACTTACCTTTCGTCTCCATCAGCGAGCCTCATTTAAAGCCTTCCTAACTAGGTTAGTGAGCCTGTCTGTGAAGATCCTCTTCTTTTTTTTCATCAGGTGGATCCTGTCTCTTCCTGGCAATCCTTCTTGGAACATCCTGTGGTCTAACATATTCATATTCCTTAAAAACAAAATGTCTTGGGTTAAACATGCATTCATGTTTTGCCATTTTTAAAGTTAGGAAGATCTCTATTTTGAAACATCAATTTTAATTATGTATAGTATATTCATTGATTTAGTAAAAAAATATAAAAATCTTGTGGCTGTATTACACAATTCTTGATATTGAATATTCATTAAACAATTATTGTTTTCAAAACAAATTCTGATCATAATATATACAATACAAATTAATAATACATGCATATGTGGCTCAAATCTCTTTTTATCAGGGCTAGGTAACTGAGTTTAAAAATGGCTACAGAAAAATTATATTGTATTCCCTTCATAATGACCTACTTCTTACTTGTTATATCAGCAGTGTGATTTAGCTGTGAACACACAAGTCTCCATGTGTCTACTGAGCATGCTCTGTAGATCTGTGCCCTGGCCAGGCAGATGGTCCCCCAAGTGAGTGCTATATGCTTACCTTGGTAAGTGCATAAGTATAGGTAAGTCCTAAATTGTAGCCAGGCAAAACCCATTACTAGATGTCAGAAAAGGAGGAGGAGGAAGGCCTTCCTATGTTTTAGCCCAATAGAATAATGGGCAGGGCACTTGGAAGATTTGAGTTATAGGCCCTCTCCCCTCTTATTTTACTGATTCCTGGGTGAATTCTCTAATCTCTAGGCTACTAAACTAACACATGAAAGTGTGCTCCCCCTTGTGGTACATTTCGCTTCTTGCAGGTACACACAGAGGTACACACACAGGCCTGCTGAGGCCCTTCGGCAAAGTAAAATCTGTAACTGTGCATAACTGCCAAAAATTTTAGTTACATGGTTGTGTAACTGCCATGCAGGTGTGTAAAGTGAAATAGGATTGTCCCTTTAGTATCTACTTTTATGAGTTGCTCACTGATCACAACCTCAAGGTAAACAGGTACAGGAACCAGATTAGTTTGTACTATTTTTATTAATTACTCAGTGCTGTATTACTTATGTGCATGATAGCGTTTCTATCAGGGAACACTGTTCCTTTCTGTACAGAGAAGAAACATCACCCCTGCTCCGCTGTATAGCACCTGCACTTACAAAATCTAATCAGGATATTCCTAGGCAAAGAACTCTTGATTTTTTTAATCATAGTCTTTGCTTTTAAGTGTCTTGAAGCAAAACTAGTTAGATGTTCTTCCTCAGGTCACTTTGAAAAAAAAATGTCATTAGAGTTAGATTGGTTTTATCTTCCTTAAAATGGGATAGACATGTAGCCTGGAGGATGGATCTGGCCTGCAGAGCTGCAGGATTTTACCTGTGTCTGAGCCTGCACTGGGGTGAGTAGTGAGAAACTACACAAGGGCCAGAGAGCTGCTTCAGTGCTGATACACTCCTCTGCACCCGTACTCCTAACTCAGCCTTGCCCCATAGGGCACGGCACGGCTCCCCTCTGTTTGGGTGCTCCATTCATGCCACAGCCTGGGAGCAGGGTTGAGGGAAGCTGCAGTGGCATAGAAACAGTTCCCAGCTGAGTGGCTCCAGAGGAGGAGCAGGGAAAGTATCCCCAACACAGCTGATATGCTGCCACAGTATCAGACCAGAGCCAGATTGTTCCAGCCTGTAGCTTGAAAAAGGTTACTGGCCTCTGCTCTAAATGTTATCTCTATTAGACTATTTACTGTAAAAAGACTCTGCTGGAACTATATGCTTCTCTGTCCATAGTGGAACTCTAAACACTGATGAGGAAATATATGAACAGATATGTAATGCAAACTCATTTTTGTATTTTGAAAAGGAATGGGGGTTATCCAGGCACAACCCCTCTCCCCCACCCAAACCCTATGATGCTCTCTCTATGTATCTCATTCTATACAAGAGAGCAGCTCTGATCCCAAGTATTCACAAATATTCCTCTTTTTGCAGATCTAAAGAAATTTGCTGTCAGGACTTTGTTGCACAAAGCGATAGTTGGGTGGGAAATTTTAGCAAGGAATTTGAGACTGGCAGATTAAGGTCAGTTAATCATAAGTTTCTATGTGGCATTCAGTTTTCTAAGTATGGCAAGACACAGCCAGCATGTGTCCATGTTGTCAGCTTCCTGTATACAGATCATGAAATGAGAGCATTTGCATGAAAAAAATGCATAGCAACAAGGCAGCACATTAAGTTTCAACATGTATGTACAAAACAAGTAATAAAACAAATGTCCTTTAGTGATGTATTCAATATTCCACAATCAAAAAAGGAAAATGGCATATTTGTGAGTGCCGACTTAAGGTGATTTTGCTACTTCATTTGCAACTGCAATCTTACTTCTGAATATCTTAGTTTTCTGATTGTCTTACCTGTATATTCTTTAAAAGTAGCAATCACTGGAATTACTGATCATATGCTTGCAATTTTATTTCACTACATTTGCAGAATATAATTTCAGAACATAATTGTAAGTAATTTAGCTATTAGAAAAATAACTTTTAGTAATCAGTTTATCCTTGTAAATTAATGCTTTTCTATTACACCACTTTATTTATCAGTGTATCATCTGTGACATTGAAGAAGACACAGGATTGGCTTTTGTGCAGTGGTCACTTTTTTAATGTATCCTTCACATGGGCAATCTTTAGATATTCCTGACCTGTGCTATGACTTTTGGTATTATATGAACCTTCTTATTCTTCCAGAACTTCCTCTGCTTTGAGATATTGCAACTATAGAAAATTAGACAGCAATACCTTCTTTTCCTTATCCTGTAATGCCCGCTTTTTTTTGTACTTCACTATTTTTGTAGGTCCCAGAAGCAATAAGAAAGTGCCAGAAAGCTGGCATTACTGTTCGCATGGTCACAGGGGACAACATCAATACAGCTCGTGCCATTGCCATAAAGTGTGGAATTATTCATCCAGGAGAAGACTTTCTTTGCCTTGAGGGAAAGGAATTTAACAGAAGAATCCGAAATGAAAAGGGAGAGGTAATTAATAAATTAAATATTAAGTATATTTTCAGGTGTTATGTTTCACAGACTATAGTGGTGAAGACTGAAATATGTTGCATTTCTCCTATACTGTTATGTTTCTTGCTGCAATAGATAAAAGATCAGCCTTGAAACATAACTGGAGAGGTTATGCTAATTCTAGTACTACATCAGTATAATTTAAAATTACATTGAAAATGAGTATGTTATATTTAATCCAACTCTGAATTGTTTAGCCAAACAGTGACTTTTGTGATGCCTTTATTCTGTCCTTATTTCTTAACCATAATCTGTGAGGTTCAAATTTAAAAAGTTCAAATTTAAATATATTAAGAAGCTCTTTGGCTGGGGCAGGTGGATAATATACAAAGAACACAACTCATATGTCAATGGCAACTTTCGGAGCCAACCTTTGATATCATATATTTCTCCATATTTGGAGCACTCCGCACTCTCACAATTTTACTCAGATCATCTCTGTCATATATTCTGTTATATGACTGTGACAACTAAAATTAGTTCCTACTGTTCTTATATTCTCTTATAAAAAAGCCAACACAGTAACCATTAAGAACCAAAAGAAAAAGTGAACTAGATTCTCCAACTACATCTGCAGTGTTTTTTAAACAAATCAATTACATTGATGCATGTCTCTTTAAAACAGCATGAAGGCATATTCATACCAACTCATGAATATTCAAGTATGCACATAAGCCACTGAGGACATAATCTGGTTTTCAGAACATTAAATAAATTGCTGATGCATAAGATGGAGAACCCAGCTCCATTTCCATGTACTAGGTAAAGTTGGCAGAGCTAGCAGTTCGAAACATTGTCTCGTTTGTAGACTAAAAATGTTTAGTGTGGAAGCCAGTGAAACTCTGTGAAGAAGGAACTTAACATTGATGCTTTTAGAGTCATATTTTGGATGTGAATTATTCTTCAGGGTAATAAAAAAGCTCCTAATGTTACTATGGTGGATCCTACATGCTGCAGCCAGAAATTAAGGCAGTTTGGTATGGCACTGTAATTTTCAACTGCAAGAGATTCATGAACACCACAAGTAAAAGATTATGGCAAATTCATTTTCTCTTGTGACACTATTTTCCTTTAATATAGTCTTGGATATTGCTGGTCAGTCATTTTGGAGAAATCTGACCACTGTATGGGCTGGTTCCCAGCTTTGAGTGTGAAAGGGAACCATCTGCAATGTTGGCACAAACATAGTCAGATTTTGCATATTGTAGACTTATGACTGTATCATTTTTTTTCAGATTGAGCAAGAACGAATTGACAAAATCTGGCCAAAACTTCGGGTACTTGCTCGATCATCTCCTACTGACAAACACACTTTGGTAAAAGGTAAAAGCAAATGATGTGTATGTGTATGTGTGTTTGTTTGACAGAGAGAAATGGTCTATCTCTTGTCTGTCTCTTTACTTTATTATTATTTATTAGATTTATATGCCAGTCATGTTGACAAAGGCTCAGTGTGGCTTACAGAAGAGAACAAAATAAGTTGCCCCGGACTGATCATACTGTCATGTAAAAGACGTGTTTCCATATTACAGTCCTGACACATGGTAGCATACTGTTCATAAGGCAGCATGAAGGAAGGAAGGGGAATAAAAGGGGCTAGGTATGTTATTTCTCATGTTACAGTTGTTTTAGCCATGACACAGTTTTGACAGACCTCTGTTACTGTACCTGCATTCTATTGGTATAGGAGTGTTGGAGATGTGAATCTTTTTCCCCCTCTGAGAGTCTAGAGTGGGAAAAGCCCTAGAAAATAAATTTTCTAACAAGATATCTTGTTTTATTAAAGAAACTGGTGTGAGCTATACTGTCAAAATCAAGCATTTGCAGTAAACACATTATTTACACTGGGGATGAGTGATGTTTGTTGGCATAGAAAACCCATCCTAGAGCATAGGAGACCTTAGTGGTAAGGGTAAAACAGACGGAGATAAGGAGAAAGGAAAAAAGAGAAAAGTAGGACAAGGAAAAGGGTAGAGGAAACTGGCTTTATACAATAGCCATTTCTAGGCTACTTTGCCACAGCTGTGAGAACTCTGGGTTCCATTCCTGTTTGCTCTAAAATGTGAAATTGGTGAGCTTGAGGCCACACTCCCAGGCAGAGGTGTAGTAGGACAGTCCTGTGCCTGGGGTAGTAGACACAGATCCTTGGGGCATCATAGATCGCTGCTACTGTTGCAGCAGTAGCTATTTTTGTGCCCTCCCCCTGCCGGCAAACAGGCAATACCAGGGCTCCTGCCCTGGTTGCTTGCCTTCAGTTATGCTACTGCTCCCAGGCCTGTTTGTTGAATTGTAGTGGAAGCATTTTTTACTATGTTGATTTTTCTCTTTGGTAATTCTTTCATACTCTAGGTAAGTAATAACTCTTTTAATGGGACTACATAGATATATTACAACAATGGCATTCCACTAGAGTGGAATTTTCCAAAGCATCAAAACATCTTGAGAGTACAAGTTCCATTGAAAAGTAATGGGTCTTATGCTTCTAGGTCATTTAGGCAACTGTGAAAAGAGAATTTGTCTTATGCAAGAATTCTAGCATACAGCCATGAGCTGTCTTCTGAGGACCAACACCTTCTTTAGGTGTGGTCTACTGGATGTGTCAGATATATAGCTTTAGCACTCTGGAGATTCAGAGTGTCACTTCTGTCTGTATTCAGCTTTAGCTTTGTCTTAATGCAAGTGCAACCTCAACCTCCAGAGCAGCTCAGAATCAGAAAGGCACAAAGGTGGCTAAAGCTATCTGAAGTTCACTTTACCTCTTGGTTATGAGTTCAGTTTACACCTCTAAGAATCACTGCACAGAAGCTTACCCCAGATCCCAAGACCGGTGCATAGCTCTAAAGCTTAACATAGGTGCATGTTGTAGGACTCATAAATTTAAATAAATATCTCTAGGGAATGGTTGTGGAAGTGAATCATGCAGGATTTTCCCTTTGCAGGAAAATTAAATCATCAGTTGAAAAAAGAAATCAATAGTGTGGAACAGTAGTAAGGAACAAAATGATAATTAGATTTACAGTATGTGCATTAAGAGACTGAAAAGGATATACTGTTACAGAATGCTAGTACTGTTAAACGTTTAGACATCTGATGATGTCAAATGAAAATCAATGAATTGTCTAATGTAGCTTATGAGCAGTTCTGCACTGATGCACAGAATGCTTTAAGGGCAATTAAAAGTTACACAGAATTATTTACTCATGATGCTGACCTGGACAACCTAAAATCTAATTTTTTTACAAAAAGAATACTTTAGTGGAGAAATAGTATCTCTGAAAGAGCCACCCACAGTAACCTGCTACAATACAAAAAGAAGCTCCCCTCTGACTGCACATCCCTGGTGGTCATTTACCACCCGACATTGGAACCAATTAAAAGAATCATTAAACAACTACAGCCTATGCTTAATGAAATCAGACCTTGTAAGAAACATTCCCAACTTCTCTGCTCCTGGCTTTCAAACAACCCCCTTTGCTCAACTCATCATCAGAAGCAAACTCCCCACAACTCTGCAGATGTCAAATGGGGCATAACTTTGCCTCAACTCTGGATGTTTCTACACAAGACACTATGTCACGCTAGCAGTGACCTGCGTCACCATAGCTTGTTGCTACGGCAATGTAGCATCTAAAAATAAGCATGTGCCACCAGGACTGCACAATACCAGCGGGTACTACACAGTCATTTCATAGATTTCATAGACATTAGGGCTGGAAGGGACCTCGGAAGATCATCGAGTCCAGCCCCCTGCCCAAAGGGCAGGAATTCAGCTGGGTTCATAGGATCCCAGCAAGATGAGCATCCAGTTTGCTCTTGAAGGTGTTCAATGAAGGCGCTTGAACCACCTCTGGTGGCAGGCTGTTCCAGACCTTGGGGGCTCGGACAGTAAAGAAATTCTTCCTTATGTCCAGCCTGAAATGGTCTTGTAGTAGTTTATGACCATTCGACCTAGTCGTCATCCCTTGGGGCACTCTGGTGAACAAACGTTCCCCCAGATACTGGTGGTCACCCCTGATAAACTTATAGGTGGCCATCAGATCACCCCTGAGCCTGCGCTTTTCCAGGCTAAAGAGCCCCAGGGCTCTCAGCCTGTCATCGTAGGGTCTGCTTCCCTGACCTCTGATCATGCGTGTGGCTCTTCTCTGGACTCTCTCAAGCTTCTCCACATCCTTTTTGAATTGTGGAGCCCAAAACTGGACGCAGTACTCTAGCAGCGGCCTCACTAAGGCCAAGTACAAGGGGAGAATGACGTCCCGGGATTTGCTTGAGAAGCATCTATGGATGCAAGCCAGCGTTTTGGTCGCTTTACTAGCTGCAGCATCGCATTGCAGGCTCATGTTCATCTTGTGGTCAATGATGACCCCCAAGTCTCTTTCTTGCATAGTGCTAGCCAACATAGCACTGCTGAGCCTATAAGGATGCTGCAGGTTTTTCCTCCCAAGGTGGAGAACCTTGCATT